TTCTGATCTAACATACTTTCCTGTTGAATCTTTTCATTTCAGATCTAAGAAAAGAAACCACTCCGCAACTATCACAATGGAAGAAAACCTTGGACCTGAAGCCATCCAAGCGCTTGGTGAGTTACTGTTTGCACAAGAATTTCTGCCTCAAACCTTACTAACAGCCTCCTCCATTCCATTCATTCTTTTCCAAGATGTACTTGACCAGCACAAGCGCGCCTGTCAAAACAGATACTACCGACAAGCTCTCAAGCGAGAGTCGCAGAAAGCCCGCTACGTGGACACCAGCTCGAAAGTGAACAGCTTGAAACAGATGGTTGCGAGGGACCTTGGATTCAAAGTCACTGTCCAGCACCCCCGGCTCTGGTACTTGCTGGACACGGAAGTCGGTAGTCCTATGCAAAACCTTGGCACGCCTCCCACTCCCCGCTGGGATGCGCAAGGGCAACTTGGTCTAAGCGACAAATCTCTTCTCTTGATTTTCTTCTTCTGCCTTTTGCTTGCACTTCTCTTCTTTGTCATCTTTGCAAATTAGATTTGATTGCTTGTAGGCCTCTTTTGAATGTTGGTGGTAAATACTCTATAAAAAGAATATGATCTATGTCCTCTGATTCCTCCTTCAAAGGCGATTCAATTCTTCTGATTCAATCAATTAAGCCTTTGCCATAAAAAGATCCTTCATAGCCTTTATCTGTTTTGAGTGAATAATTAAATCCCACGTCTTTTCCAGAGACTGGCGCTCCCCGCAGCGCCTTGAGCATGAGCCCTTATTGATAATAATTATGCTCTCTTTGGGCTTTGCTTTGAGAAAAGCCGTGCGACAGCGACTTATATATCAACCAAGGAGCAAATTCTTCACATACAATACAAATGTGGATGAGATCTGATCAATAATACACCACAGGTGCGATTGGCGATTGGGTGTGTATCCCTTGGCCAGACACGCTTTGTAGTCAAGAGCTTGAAGGCGGGCTGAAACGACTGCAATTGCACAACTTCATTTTAGCTTGGGGGTAAAACTCGCATGTAATCTAAGCTACCAATGGCAGCTTTCCGCTTGACTTCCAGCTCAATCAAAAATCTCAACATCTTGACCGGATGATGTGGTGCTCAAAGCCCTTTCAAGTGTGAGCTGTTGTAGCACATCATGTTCAATAGTAATAGTAAACAAGTAGTCTAGCTCCGTTCAAAGGGAAGCGGCAACAAAACAATGAATCAACTGCGTTCAAAGGGAAGCAGCAACACATAGGCTCAGTTCCAGTTGATTCCGCGAGTGTTCCCAAGTCTCAACCGTTACACAGCGTCCCTCTCAGAGGC